CAGGCCTCTGGTTTATCAAGGTCTCTATGCAGGACTCCTCTGGCTCAAGGGAGACAACAATTCCTCCCAATGTTTTATCAGCTCCTCACTTAGTGTCTCCCAAAATCCTGTGTCCAAGTCATTCAGGATGTTGCAGAGCACAGGACCAAGGATGGAGCTCTGGGGATCCCCATTAAGGGCAGCTAATGTGGTATTTGGGGATTGTTAGGTCATATTTTGGCATTCAGCTCTGAGGAACTGTCAGGGGATACTTTCAAGAGTGACAAATCCAAAGGCAGCCAAGCACACAGCTGCTGGAAAATGCCATGGAATCTTACAATGAAAAAGCAATATTAATCAGAAGATTGCATGTAAATTGTACGTGGCCCAAATAAAGTTGAAATGGCCACAGATGAAGTCTTACATTCAGAATTAAAAGGCCCAAGATAGAGTCTTATCTTTTTAGGTGACTCTGGAAAGGAAGGTCAAAAACCTTATTTTTTTTCGCTAAATGCTTCCCATAAATAAAATAGAAAAAAAATCTCTGCAAACTACTATCATGGCACCTAGATGCCTGTATTAGTTGGATTTTTCTCTATGGAAACAGGAAAAGACTGTTGTAGGAAGTGGAGATTAGAGAGTTTTTTTTTCTTTAAAAAGCACACAGCATTGACTTGTTGTTGCCCTTTTTGAACTAGACATATAACTCCATGTAATTTAATTTAGCTTGCATGGAAATCAATTGTGAATTGTCTCACTCTTTCCCAGTCAGTACTAAAGCATTTTAATGGTTCAGGATTGATCTAATAAGCCTGGGAATAACTTATATCAAAGTGATTTGGTAAAGACTAATTTAATTTTTCTGACTAATACTGTCAGGATTTTAGCCTATTGGGAATAATCCTGAAAGCTGAACGAGTGTACTAAGTGGAGCTGAGATGGGCTAATAAAGCCTTTACTGGCTTGTAGGTAGTGTGCTGTTCTTTCACTTCCAGATAAAACTCTAGTTTTATGCTTCTAAGTTTTTTTGCAAAATTTTCAGTTTATGTCCATGGTTCTAGTGTGAGTATTCAACAACAGAAAGAAAGCAGGATCAATAATAGAATTAAAAAGTGTTCCATACTAGAAGAGTATGGAACTGATAATTTGAATTTCAGCTGAAGATAAAGTTTGTGTAATGCTGCTCTGCTTTCATTTTGCAGTCAGCTCTTTATGACTGGTGAAAGGTGTTTGCTTTGTGGAGGATCTCTACAGCTAGATGTATTTTAATGAATCTGTTTTTCTTTGGTATGCACAGTTATATTAGTAACTAACTGCAGCTTGGCTTGAAATATTTTTATCCCACCCAGAGGGAACTGGGAAAAGAAGCTGAAAAATGAAAGCAAACATTTTGTTCTAATACTAATGCATGGTTTTCTTTGGAGTTTATAAAAACCCTGGAACTTTTAAACTATTTCCTGCATAATGCTGTGGATTATTGACATGAGTCAAGTTGACATGAAGCTATTTATCAGCAAGGTGGAATTTTCAACATGAAACATTTTTGAATAGCTGGGTTGCTTTGGGCGTTTTATTGGATTAGCCTAACACTCGGGTTTTGAGAAATTTTGCATATCTCTAAAAAGGTTTTCCAGGAGACTGCAAGTGAGCTCGCTTTCCAAAATGCTTGAGGTGAATACAGTTGAAATTAATTAGAATGTAAAATGTGTTGCAGAACATCTCATGTTTCCTATGTAATAGGTATAATATGTAGGAAAGGCAGATTGAGAAGCCCTCATTCTATGGAAAGGTTTTTACTCTGTTAAAACTTGGTGACTTTGATAAACTGTTCATAGATTAAAGGGCTCCTCAGCATATATGCATTATTTATATGGCTCTAAGGGATACATATGAAGTTTTAATATTGTCTGAAAGAAATAGATTTATGTTATTTCAGTCATCCCCTCTTACTCAATTTCATCCCTTGATGCTGTACAGTCTGTTAAATTCTAAACTGAACAAAACTTCTGGGTTTTTTTAAACAATGCCTTTGTACAAATAGTATTTTGTTAGATTACTGGGTAAAACAGGACTCCAGTGGAGTGCTGTTCAAACAAAGCAATTAATTTCATAATTCCTTCATTTTGTTGCTGCTACTGTAGTATCAGAAGATAATTTACTAACTGTTGCATATCCTATTGACCTATTGATTCTGTAAGTTTTACAGAAACTTATAAAATATTCTAGTTCTTGGAAATATTAGATTTATCTTTCTGATTGGTTTAAAAAGAGAAATAAGAATGTTGGCTGCATTAGGATATGGGGGCTGTCTGCTGGAATCCATTTTTGTGCCAGATTAAGTTGCTATGTAAGAGGCAATGGAAGTGCTGATTCTACTTCCATTTTTATAGGGGAAAGATACAACAGATGTTCAAGAGGATGTTGGGAAACAGCCAGTGCATTAACTTAGCATCCAGCTACTTCTTTTGCCTTGCCATGTGAAAATAAATGTGGCAACAAGTGCAGTTATTTTTGCTATTTAACACCAATCTCCTAGGCTAAGTTTGTTTGTGACTTTTTATAATTCATCATGACTAGTCAAGAATTATTACATGAGAAATGTTATTTGGATAATGTTATTTGGATTTTACTTAGACCAAATCTGAGCAGTGCATTCCTGGAACATGATAGAAGACCTCGAGTAGAGCTGTTATATGCACATAAACCACCATTAGGCAAACATAAATATGAAAAGTAATTAAATATTAGAGCATTTGCTGAAGAGTCAGGAGAAATATTGAAAATACTTGGACAACTTCCTCTTTTTTAATTAATAAAGAAAAGACCTTCCTAAGACATGCTGTAATATCAAGTTCAAACCTCCCCATGCAGACAGTTGGGTGCAGTGTGCAGTAAAGAGGCATCAAAAGTTGAAAGTCATCAGAATAAAGCACAGCTCTCCATTACAATGAAATTAGTTTCTTTTTTATTTTTCTATTTTTTTTTCCCATTTCTTTAAGGCAATTTCTGAATCAAACAGAAGTGGCTGCTCCCAGACATTCAAAAAGCAGGAATTAAAACATAGAATATGATAGCTATCTTGACTTCAAAGAACAGAAGTCCTTGGAAAAATTTTGTCTTGCCCAACTCCCTCTTGTGCTGTTGGCACCAGCTGTGTGGGATGCAAACTGAAAAATCCTACTGGGAGATAAATACTCAATGCTGACTGATTTTATTTTTTTTAAAATTTCTTTATATTGCTCTTAATTCTATAATTTTTAATCTGTACTGCAATATATTGAGTCATGGGATGAGAAGCATTGCAAGGGTCCTTAAAAGTTTTTAAGTGTGGAAAGGTTTATTTTTAATGCGTCAGTGCTCTGTGCTGGACGCTTATGGCATCGTGTTTTAGAAATATGCATAATTTGAGAGCATGTGGGAAAAAATACAATTAAAATTGGAAAATAGCAAAACTTTTCAGCTCTAGCTACAAAACATCTACCTCTGGAGTTAATATCTAGAGTTTTTTTGTCTTCTACACAAGGCCATGCTGAAGTAGTTCTCTATAGATGTGCAGTGTAAATGTGGAACATAACCAAGCTTTGCCAGAATTCAGAGAGTATCTGGACTTATCTTAATCTTATGGTTTAGTTTTATGCAGCCCATAGAGCAGCAGGGAACTGGGCTTGATGATCCTTGTAAGACCCTTCTCATCTGAGATATTCTGTGTTAATTTATGATGCTTATTATTTTTGTTTGGCAGTGCTGCTTTTCCTGGGGCTTTGATATGAAATTCCTGGGCAATACTGTCACCACAAAAATTTTAAGCTCTTGAGGATGTTTTGTTTTGGTTTTCCTCTAAAGTAGTAAATTAAGCAGTGAGATTTACGTTTACAGGATGCAATAAGGTGCAAAACTAAGAGTTCAGAAAGGAAATTTGATGGAGTTACGGAGAAAAAAAATCCCCAGGCTGATGTTCAAGAGGCTCCAAAGAGCAGATTGCCAGAAGCAAATTATCTTAGACAAGAAAACCCACCTTGGTTTTTGTAATTTCTTTTTTTTTTTT